GAAGGATTTATACCCACGGGAAAAGAAAATTTAGTGTGTAAGCTGAGAAAATCAATTTATGGACTAAAACAAGCTTCCCGATAATGGTATCTTAAATTTAATAATACCATTACATCTTATGGTTTCGTAGAAAATATCGTTGATCGATGTATCTACATGAAGGTTAGTGGGAGTAAGTATGCGATTTTAGTCTTATACGTTGATGATATTTTACTTGCTGCAAATGACATGGGAATTTTACATGATGTAAAAGTGTTTCTTTCTAAGAATTTTGATATGAAAGATATGGGCGAGGCATCCTATGTGATAGGAATAGAAATATTCCGAAATAGATCACAAGGATTGTTAGGATTGTCTCAGAAAGGTTATATCAACAAAATATTAGAAAGATTCAGAATAGACAAATGTTCTGCAGGAAAGGTTCCAATTTAGAAAGGAGACAAGTTCAGTAATTTACAATGTCCGAAAAATGAATTAGAACGAAAGGAAATGGAAAATATTCCTTATGCATCAGTGGTTGGGAGTTTAATGTATGCTCAAACGTGTACTCGACCAGATATCAGCTTTGCTGTTGGAATGTTAGGTCGGTACCAGAGTAATCCTGGAATGAATCACTGGAAAGCTGCAAAGAAAGTTCTAAGGTACTTGCAAGGCACCAAAGATTATATGCTCACATACAGAAGATCAAATCATCTGGAAGTCATTGGTTATTCAGATTCAGATTATGCTGGATGTGTTGATACCAGAAAATCGACTTTTGGATATTTGTTTCTACTTGCCGGAGGAGCAGTATCATGGAGGAGTGGAAAGCAGTCTGTCATCGCTGCTTCCACCATGGAAGCTGAGTTTGTAGCATGTTTTGAAGCTACCGTTCACAGTTTATGGATGCGGAACTTTATCTCAGGGCTTAGGATTGTCGACACTATAGCTAGGCCGCTGAGAATTTACTGTGATAATTCCGCAGCTATCTTCTTCTCGAAAAATGATAAGTACTCGAAAGGTGCTAAGCATATGGAGATAAAATACTTATCTGTCAAAGAAGAAGTGCAGAAACAAAGAGTATCATTTGAGCATATCAGTACTGATTTTATGATAGCGGATCCATTAACTAAGGGACTGCCGCCTAAGACTTTTAATGCTCATGTTGATCGTATGGGCATTATAGATAAGTCGTTGCTGTAATTTAAATAATTGCTCATTATATATGATATCTTGAATTCAATAAAGTCTTGTTTCTGTTATTGAAAGTCATATTATCATTAAATTATTTGTGTACATATGAAGTTGATAAAGATAATATGCATTATTGTTCTATAATTACTTCTGGCCATAAAAGAGGTTTTGGATGACAAACGCTTGTGATACTTGGAAGGAATCATATTCAAATAAAATGATGTGTGACCGCCAAGATTCAATCGTTTGTTGTTCAAATAAAAGTTATCGATGACAGATAAATACAATATAAAAGTACGCGTTTAAAGATTGTAGATCATCAAATCATCACATGGGCCAAGTGGGAGAATGTTGGAAATATAAAATTGACCCATGAAATTTTGGGTTTTGGACTTCATATTAGTTTGAGCTCATTGATGGATATGAGCTAATTAAGTTTGAATGTCCATTGGTATTCATGGTAATCCATCTCTTTCCCCTATAAATATAAGATCTTGATTCACATTTTTCATCCATCAGAAAAATTATCAAAGTAAGGGTGAAAGGAGAGAAAAACCGATTTACCGAACTGTTCTTCAAAGTTATTCCGCTGCAAAATGGATTCAGGTATAATTCTTATTCAATATGTATATTAATTTCGAATTGTGTGAATTATGCAAAAACCGTATCCAGTTTTTTGGTGAGTTTTCATAAAGTTATCGAAAACCATCAATATAAAGTATGTTACACACGAATCGTACAAGAAAAGAGTTGCTCTCCCGTTTCCGAGCTTAACCTTCGAGTAATTTCTTAAAGCACCAAGAGTGGTTGGTGTTTGGAGCGAGAGACTAAAAATTCTCTCTCTGCATGTAACTGATACAAAACGGATAAGAATCCCATGGCAATGGCAAGTGGCGAGTACCCAAAATAATCTATAGCCTAAAGGCTGAAACAAAAACTGATCAGTAATTTAGTCACCGATGTGGTATCAATCCTTGAGGTGGTCGCTCCTTTCGACGCCACAGCGGGCGGAGATGTTCAGTAGTTTGGTTCGCATTGAGTTGTCGATATACGTATGTATATATATAATAATATTATAATTAAGATAATAATATTAATATATATATAGATGTATGTATATTTATGTGTGTATATGTATATGTACGTGTTTACGTATATATGTATTTTTTTATTTTTTATAATAATAATAATAATATTATTATTATTATTATTATTATTATTATTGTTATTATTATTATTATTCGATGTGGCTGTTGACATGTCATGTGACTGAGATGACATGTGATATCACAAATACCGATAAGATTGGAGAGTGATCATCGGTGTGAAAAAGAGACGACTCATGGCAGACTTACATATAGAAGAGATATGGGGATGGATTGCATGCAATGGAATAAGAAGGATTTGAGTGCTATATAGACATGAGACTATATAGTTAATGATAACATAAAGGAATTAATTTAGTTATTCATACAAAAAAGATGCATATATATTTTCGTTTACCTATATCGAGAAAACTATAAAGTTAATCGTGTTTGTTTTGAATTACTTTTAGTGTAGGTGACCTTTTGAAAAATACTTCTAATGATTTCTAATGATGTATGCGATGTGTACGAGTGAAGACAAACTAAACCGAAAGATTTTGTGTTGGTCAGTGGGATAATTTCCACGTCCATAACGGTCTCGAATACCTTTTTCCCGTCATATTTCTGTTGACGATTTCAACAGCGTCTGACATATACCTAAGAATTGTTACATATAATTTCATGCAATGATAAAGATAAGAATTGCACTACTGGAACGACTATTAGATTTCCTTTTTTGTTGTGTTGGGATTCTTTTGTTTTTTCTAGACTTGTTTTTGCCTGCTTGATATCTTTCTTAAGTTTCTTTCACCATAAAACAATTAGTAAAGCAGTTGTCCATTGTTGTCACCTGACATCAAAGGTTACATACCCAAATCATCAAAGAGGACACTCACTCGTTGATATTTCATTCAAACAGCTGAAAATATACTAGAAAAATACAGTTTTGTTTTGTCCCTCATGCTCATGATCTGAAGCAGAACCATCCAATTACCAGCAGAACTGTCTTCAAGAACTGTCTTCAGGGTTTGTTTTTGGTCGGAGAGAATGAAACAACATATGTTTCTGGTCCCTTTATTGAGCAAAAGCTCCAGAAGAAACACACAAAGTATATACATGTATTTATTAGTCTATACTTCCGCTGACTCGGGCTTCCTCTCTGCAACTTGACTCTCGAGAAACTCTAGGACCGAGAGCCGCTGTATCACGAGAAACATTTGGCATTTGTTAATATTCCTAATTCGTGTCCTTATATCTCCTACATAAGGAGCAAGTCATCTGATTAATAAAGCATATTGGGTTTCTCTTTTAGTATTTTGGGGTTCTTGTGAAAAGCGGGATCCATGCTCGGAAGCCGATCAAGTCTACATTATTAGGACATCGGAACAGAATCATAATGGAATCTTATTCTTACACGTTGCTGGAGGGCGGAATCTTCAGGCTCCAGATTCAAAGATTTCAGGAGTTGTATGCCTTCCTTGAAACCATGGATGGCTCCATCTTCATCTTGGAGGGTCCTGTCTAAATCAGCCACTTTGGCTAGAGAAACTGCTACATCCACAACCTAGAACAACAAGAAACAATGACAGACTTGAATTGTCAAAACGTCGGTGGGAATCAGAGTCTACAGTGTGACTGACTATTGATTCAATAAGGATAAACAGTTTTACCAAGTAGAGCTATTGCAGATCACATCTGACAAAACAAAAACCAAGTCTTTTTTAAGTACATGAGACATCTCAAGTGGATCCTATGATAGATGTCCCTTGATAGTAGCTGACTGAAGGCAGTAACCAATGTTCACGTGGTCAAGACATTGTACTCATCAAAAGGAAACAACCTTGTTCTCAATCCGAATTTCTTTCGATAGTATTTTCAAGTACCAAATAATGCACAAAGCACTTTCAACACACCCCGTGTTGTCCCAAAGCAAGAGAAAATGTCTAAATAGCTTACAGAAGCATCATTCATTATGATGCTGGATATAAATTAGCGATTCAATTTCGTCAAAATCAAGTCCATTAATTCCAAGATGCGGCTCTTTGAAGACACTGAAACTCACAGCACAAAAGTACTATATCATGCATTGCAACAAAATGGGAAGAACATTTGAAATGTTTACAGAGTAAAAAAAGAGAGCAAATCCTCTAAATTCCCTCTAGATCTCCTATCTTTAAATACAGCCTAAATTTTTATTATCTCATATCATTTCTTACACTTCTTCGGAAACGATTGCAAGATTACCAAATTCTTATGGAAAAGGATTAATGTGTAATTGAATATACTATACTTTTGAACTACGCTTAGAACTAGAATGAATCAAATATACTTCAACCAAGAAAAAAGAGGGAAAAAAACAAAAACAAAGTAGTGTGCAAGCATTCTTACTTGTGAAGAAGCATCAGGATGGAGATTCACAGCATCACGTCTGACATTTAAGGAACGGAAGTAATAAGATCTTGCTGCTTGTAGGTCTCCGTCATAATACTTAAGATCTCCTATTTTGTTGAGTGAGACAGAAAGTGTATGCGTAATCTGCATGTCCAATAAAAAAATACAATGGAAATGGTAAAATAAATAAATATCAAATCAAATTATAACAAAAGGGAACCAAGGTGCTAAAACCTCCATATCATCCATTGGCAGTTTCATAAGGAATTCAACACTCTCTTCAAAATGACTGACTGCTGAGCTTGAATCCCCCATCGCACGGCTGCATCAACAGGACAAATTAAGTTTCTACAATAAGAGCACCCGGAAAATCAAAGTTTCAAACACGCCAAACAAAAGAGAGAGCATATCAACCAAAACAACATGGTTCGGAAGGAGAAGAGACATATTATATGAAAGATCTTGGATTCCAAGGAACAACTACTGCATTTTGTTTTTGTTTTTCAGAACTGGTTTTTACAACAGAAAATTATCTTCGCATGATTTGTCAGTGGAATCGTGAAAATTGTGAATGAAGCAGCAGTAAATTTGTTAACCGAGTGAGTAAGAAAATCCATTAGTATGTCATCTGCTATCAGTAGCACAAAAACCTAAAACCATGATATGATGCACTCCCCGGCAAGCTTGAAGCAACTACCAGATTTTAGTACAGAGCATCCAGGTTTTAACTAAAGAAGACCTGAATACACAAGTCCTAAAACAAAATTTGGACAGTTGAACAGTTCTTATAGATCTAAAGGAATGAAGGCTTAATTAAAAGTATATTTTTGTTTTTTGTAAAATTGCAAATGAGCAAAAACAAGTGCTTGCAATAAATAACAAAATTCAGTAAACATTGCATAAATGAGTAGGAGACAGGCCCATAATACAGCATATGGCAAAAACTTTCCAGAACATTCTTACAGGGACAGTATGTGTAGACGTTATTGCGATTTAAAAAGAGAAATTGAAGAATACCTGCAGTCCCCAAGCATACCAAGAACTGCTCCAAGCTGTGAACACAACTCTGGAGTGTTGTCCATCTTCTCCAATTGATCTCGGATGTCTTCAGCACATATTGTTAACCTTGACTTTGCACTTCCAAAATTCTGGGCTCGAAATGCCTACACATAAATGTTGAAACATCAAAAAGGGCAATAACAAGAATTCAACAATTGAGAGATTCATTAAAAAAAATCTTTAACCAGTACAATAACGTAACTGGTTAGCTTAACAATTACAGAAATGGAACTCACCCTCATTGCTTGTTGCACCAAGAAAGAACCTCTTTCCAGGGAGACATCCTCGTACATCACCTTTTCACTGTCATTTTCCACCTCTTCTTTCTCGGTATCAACAATAGATCTCTTGATTCTAGCATGACCTTCAATAAACTGCTCAACCATCTTCTGAAGGTCTTCATCAGCTTCTATCTTTTCGATATCAGCCCCACAAAGTGGGCAGTCCTTAAACCGGGAAACGCATGCTCTGTGCCCAACAGACAAAGAAAATCGATGTAAAATTGACCAATCAAACACAAGCGAAAAACAGGAAACATCTACACTAAAGCAATACACGGTCTCACTTGCAGAACACATGAGTGCAAGGCACACATCTGCTGCTCTCGTAAAGAAGTGCTTGGCAAATCATACAACTGAAAGGTCCGATCTTGAATGTTTGAGAGTCATAACCAAATGGGCACTTGGGAGAAACCGTGGCAGATTCCGTAGAGTCCTTCTTCGCCTTGCACTCGTTTTCCGAACCGGCTTTGTTCGCTGTTTCACGTTGCTTCCGAGGGCAAGAATCTTCAGGACGGGCAGATTTGGCAAAAGGGCAAACAGGCGTCATCCCTGGAGATACGCTACAATGCAATGCAAACCCTGCACTTCGAAATTCGAAATTGTCCGAAGCATACACCCAGAATTACAAAAACGACTTCTGTAATCGAATTCGATCAAACTATAAGAACCCTGCTAACAGATTCGAATATCGAAGCTAATTATATCCATTAAAGCTTCAGGAAACCAAATTTCAGACAGATATGAGAGGAGCTCGTAAGCGAGAGAGGGAGAGACGAGAAGAACCTGGGGATTGATATTATGAGACAAAGTATGGCTTGATTAGATGAGAAGCATGAGCCTTTCTGTCTCCTCGATCATTCAATTCATGGGAGCTTCTGTTTCATGCTTTGATATTTTCGTGTATTTATTGTTTCGATCCAATTTTGTTTCTCTGCCACTAGATATATAGGATGGGGATTTAAGTTGGGCCTAAAAAAAATTAAAAAAAATACAAGAAAAATAAAAGTCAAGAAATTGATTCGGGCTATTCCAATTCCAATTTCGAATTTTAATTATGTTTTTATTTTTATTTTGTACTTTAAAAAATGTATATATATTCTACTTTATATTAACTTGTTATTAAAATTAAACATTATTTAAGTATATTTTTAATTTTTTAAAATTATGTTTTATATTAATTGTAGATTTAATTAATTTAATTTTAAAAATCCTATCTTTCCCAAAGCCATGCCATGTCCGGTTAAATTTGCTATTTTTTCCCTTTGAATTTCTCTAGTTTTTACTTATTATTATAAAATCGAATTGAATTGTTGAACTAAAAAAATCACCACTTTTACCTGATTTTTTATTTTTTTTAAAGAAAATCCTTTTCCTTCAAAAGGGTTATCATTGTCAAAAACTTTTTTTTTTATATAGTTTTCTCTTTCCAGGAGTGATCATTGTTTGCAGCTGGAATTAACATCTAGTTAAATCTGAATCAAAATCAAATATGATCTAAAAATTAAATTAATCAAAATGGAAAAGGGTGATGAAAAATAACCAAAAAAACTAACAAAAGAACAAAATCTCTTTAAAAAAAGAAAAAAATAATAAGACTTGAATTTAATAATCAAACTGAAATCCGATATAAAAATAAAAATTAAATCCAATTTTTTAACCGAAAAATTGACTCTGAAATCTGTCCAAAGAAAGAGTTCACTGCATTACTACCTTTCAAATTATGTTGTTCATCACAACGAAACTAGTCATTGAATCCTATCGCCTCCCTTCCTCTGACCTGCTCGACTGTCAGCCTATCATAATGGGCTGATTTACCTTCTACGCGTGTGTTGTAGGCTCGTGCACGTGGGTTTGGGGTTTGACTCGCAGGCGCCTAAGCCCAACTACGGCCCGAGCATTAGGCGCGCCTGGTGGCCAGGTCCGGGGGGACTGTTAGGCACGGGTGGTGGCAGTTCGTCTCTGTTTGTAAGGGTAGGTAGTCAGGGGAGTTCCCCAATGTATAAAAAAAAAACTAGTCATTGACTTAATTGCTCAAGCTTTGCTTCAGCTGCCGGGAATAAAATATATGAGGAACACAAAAACTTGATCTTGCTTTAGTAATCATCGAGTATCGAAAATGGTGAAGAATCTACCTGAGAATTTGGTGGGTGTTTGAGCATATGCCTACGAGCTAGATTACAGAACAACACTCTTGATGCCCATGCATTACCATACAAGCGCGGCCTTCGGCTTACTAAACATGGCACCGCGGTTTACTTTTCCCTACCGTGAATAAGAGTATACAGCTGATATATAAGAAAGCATAATTTACCTCTCAAGGTTAAAAAAAGGGTTTTTCATATGATAACCACAAAATTTCAGAGAGGACAAGGATGGTCTCTCATAAGTGTGTACCGAGTCTAAAATCTATAACCCGATTCACAACTCACCGCAAGGATACGGATCGTCGTAACACGGGGTCGAACACAAGGACATGTTGCTAAATCTAAATCCTAATCGAAACTAAATCAAAGCAAGTAGAAGTGGAAGTGATGATGGAAATATGTGGAAAAAATGGAAAATAAAATAAGAAAGCAATGAAAATGAGTAACCTATCAAACAAAGATGACTACGGGTGTCGGGATCGTATTGGAGTGTATGGGTATATGCTAAGCATGCGAGAATAACGATTATGACTTGTTTTCGGGAATCATCAAGCAACAAAGATAGAGAATTCACCTCTCGGTCTACTAACTCACTACCTACAGAGTAACTCGTCAATCTCTCGATCTATTCAAGTTAACTCTAGATGCATGAAGAACGCTATCATCAACCCTGGATCGATTAAACCATATCTCTATGTGAATAATACGATCTATCCTATTGATTTTGATCCGAAACCAACTCATATCTCTATGTAGTTTAGAATCTAAGATAATTGACCAATGGGCTAGCAAACATCAATCCAATAAAAGTGCAAATCAATAGAACCGAAACAAATCAAAACCGAAATTCAAGTTAGGGTTCAAACATACCCAAAACACATACGAATCCCTAACCCATAGCCGTGGATCTACTCACGGTTCATGGAAAACAATAAAAAGAACAGAGAAAAAGAGATAAAAGAGAGGAGAGAAAAGCTCATGTAGATGTGTAGTCTTCACGATCAAATCTTCCTTCTTCTTCCCGAAATCCCGTGAACTTCTATTCTTCTCTCCCCAAAAGCTCTCCGAAAATCTGTATCTAGGTGTTCTCTAATGTTCTCTCATGTTCTAGGACGTGGCTAGGGCTTTTTTATAACCCTAGGGCAGCTCCCAAGAGTCCTATTCCCATTCTGATGCTGAAAATCGCGAAACAGGGTTTTTGACTGGATCCGGGCCGTTTCCAGGTGGATCCGGACCGGATCCAGATTCTTGGGCTGTCTTGATTCGGACCGGATTCAGTTGGATCCGGCCCTGCACTGGCAGTTTTCTAGTCTTCACGAATTCGCTCATAACTTTCTGCTCCGGTGTCGGATTTATGCGATTTTGATATCTACGCGAAGCTTTTGAAGTGCTCTCTCCAATGATATAAGTCTCACACGATTTGGACTTCTGTAGAAGAAGTTATTGATGTCGCAACATGAGTACCTCATCCGGACTTCTCCTTTAACGCTCCAATTGGCTCTTTTTCGAGTCCAATCATCTCTGAAACCTGTAACTCTGCAAAACTAGAGCATAACCGGGTTTTGTGTCCTAACACGCCTAGAATGCCTATGAATGCATGTGATTATCCTATAAAACTTAGACAAACTCTCATCAAAATATAGAGAAGAATAGGAGTTATCAAATC